AGTAAAATGAAAAAGAAAGCCCTTTTACAGAGTTCAGTATATCAAAATGTGAATTTTTACTTCCCTAGTGTAAGCTAAGAAAGTCTCAATAGTAGGGCCCCTCGGACGAATCGCTACTTTCATATTTTCTAGACGTTTCAAGACCTCTACAGTTCGAAAACGTAGATCTCCGTCTTCCGTTTGTCGTCTACGTCCACTTTTGTTTATGACGTCAGCTTACAATTTTGACGAATAAATGTTATTTAAATTTTAAAAGATAACAACTCCTGCACCTGTGGTTTATGAATTTTTGTTGAGTTTTTACCCTATGCATCCATATTTTTGGAGAAAAAAGTCAAAATTCTACATTCAGATTTTACAATTTAACCTTGAAATTACAAAACAGAATGCGCCACCATAATAAATCGTGAATCAAAATTTATCTATTTAATACCCCCTATCGCAGAAAATCTGGTAAGAAGAAGACGGGAATTGATGAAAATTGTGTAGATTTGTTCTTCTTATTTGTTCTGAGAATTTTTGTAAATTAATCAATAAATTTTGTAATAATTTCGATTAGTCCTTAAAATTAAGCAATTCTAAGCAAATTCTTGTAATTCCATTGTGGTCAAAGCAGATCTAAAATTTCTAGGTTATATAAATAACGAATTCGAAATTAGGTATGTACTTAAATTCCAAGTCTAAGTGGTTCTAAAAATTCTTCTAAATTAATCACTAAATGCTGTGGTAATAATTCCGATGAATCCTTAAAAATTACGCTGATTCGAACTGAATTCTAGTAAATCCACTGTGTTTAAAACAAATCTAAGGTTTTAAAAGTTCTATACACGTGGCGAATCCGAAAGTATTTCCACCATTGTGTATTGGAATTGCGTACATTTATTTGAAGTCTGATTGGTCCTAAAAATGTTTGTAAATTAATAAATAAATGTTGTAATAATCCTAAAGCAATTCTAGTTTTTCTATTGTGGTCAAAGGAGATCTAAAGCTTATAAGTTTTGTTACACAAATAGCGAATCCAAAATTAAATAGTCCCATTTGTGTGGCGAAATTACGTACTGATATGTACTTAAATTCCAAGTCTAATAAGTTAAAAATATTCTTCTGAATTGATCAATAAATTCTGTAGTAATAATTTCGATGAATTCCTAAAAAAAGCCAAAACTTCTAAATAAATTCTAATAATTCAATTTTCTTCAAAGCAAATCTAGGATTTCCAAAATTCTATTTAATCAGTAGCAAATCCGAAAGTAATTCTATCGGTTTGCAGTGGAATTGTAAATTTCCAGGTTTGATTGGTTCTAAAAATTTTTGTGAATTGACGAGTAAATTATGTAATAATAATTTCTATTAATTCTTAAAAATTATGCTAATTCTAACTAAATTCTAGTAATATCATTGTAGTCAAAGCAAATCTAAAGTCTCGAAATTCTGCTACACAAATAACGATTCCAAAATTAATTCCATTTGTGTGGTAAAATTAGGTACTTAAATTCCAAATCTAATAAGTTCGAAATTTGTTTCTAAGAATTCTATCGGTTTCAGTGGAATTCCAATTTTCCTGGTTTGATTGGTTCTAAAAATTGTGACAAATAAATTTTGTAAAAATAATTTCGATGAATTCTTAAAAATTATGCTAATTCTAACTAAATTCTAGTAATTCAATTGTGTTCAAAACAAATCTAAGATTTTCAAAGTTCTAAGTATTCCCATCATTAGAATTGCCCACATTCATTCAAGTCTAATTGGAGTAATTGGTTCTAAAAATTCTTGTAAATTGATAAGGAAATTTTGTAATATTTTCAATTAATTCTTAAAAATTTCAGCAATTCTAAGTAGTAAATTCTAGTAATTTCATTGGTCAAAGTAGATCTTAAGTTTCTACGTTATGGTTACACAAATAACGAATTCAAAATTGATTCCATTTTTGTGTGCGAATTACGTACTAAATTCCAAGTTTAATTAGTTCTAAAAATTCTTCTTAATTGATCAGTAAATTCTGTACTAATAGCTGATTTCAAAAATTCCAGAAGTTCTAAATATTTTCTAGTAATTTTATTTTGTTCCAAGCAAACCTAAGATTTCCAAAGTTCTGTTAAATCAGTAATCGGGTTGCAGTGGAATTATAAATTACGAAGTTTGATTGATTCTAAAAATATTTATGAATTGAAAACTAAATTTTTAATTTCCTGTAATGAAATTAGTATTTTGCAGTTAAGCTCCACCTCCTTGGTTCACGGCAAATAACAAAAATCATCACAACTGAGACAGGGCGGGTGGGTGGGCTTACATTTTAACTTTTTGTTTTAATGTGTGTAGGCTTCGTTTAACAACATGAAACTTCAAATATGTTTAAAATGGAAAATATTATATTATTATCTTTCATTGCAAAAATGTACCATTTTAACCATGCTTTAAGTTTCTTGCTGTGAAAAGATGACTGTATATTAAGAAAAAAACAGGCAAAATATAAACCCCGCCCACCCACCCTATCTCAATTGTGATGATTTTTCTTATTCGTCGTAAGACGACGGAAAAAACTTACTTGTAAAATCCTTATTTTCCTATGAAAAATTACATGTAAATATGTTCTTAAAGAAAACTGACGAAAACTAAGTGTAATAATTTATAGGGTAAGCGAAGAAAAATGTTGCCTCTCCGGTGGAAATCGAACTGCATGTTTACCGCTTACCGGGTGGGTGCCCTTACCACTAGACTACGGAGGAGCTTATCTTTCTTCGCTTACCACTACTTATTATTGTGTCGCCACAAATTAAAAAAGAAAACCAAAAGAAAGGCTCCACCCATCCGTCTCGATATCAATCGTGATGAATTTTTCATTCGTTGTCAGACCGATGGGCGGGGCGTAATTGCAAACTCGATATTTCCCTATAGAAATTTCCCGTTTTAAACATGTTTTAAGCTTCTTGTTATGAAAAGACGACTACGTATATTAAGAAAAAGGCTAAATATAAGCCCCGCCCACCCACCCTATCTCAATTCTGATGATTTTTTTTGTTCGTCGTAAGCCTAGCGCCGAAGCTTAATATAGGATTTGTTCGGCAAAAATTTTAGGGGGGATGAGCAATTACATTTTGATCAAAAATTTACCATGCTTATGATAACTTTAAAACATCTCTAAGATTTCAAAGCATTCAGTTTTGCAGATTAAAAATTAAATTGCAAAATGTTTTATAATTTTGATTTTTTTTAAGTTGATTGCTAGAAAAATGTACCACTTTAGATATTTTTTAAGTTTTCTCTTGTCGAAATAAGTCTACACATATTAAAACAAGAAAGCAAAATGTAATAAAAAATTACATTAATTAGCAAATTCTATTAGTCCCATTTTCCAAAGTTCTATTAAATAAGAAACGAATCCGAAAGTATTTCTTTCCAACAATGTGCATTAGAATTACATGGATTATTCCTTGTCTGATTAGTTCGCTTTAAAAATGTTTGTAAATTGAATCAATTCTAAGTAAATTCTACTTATTCTATTGTGGTCAGAGCAATTCTCAAATTTCCAAAGGTATTCCAAAGTGATAACTATGTAACAAATCCGAAAGTAATTCCATCTGTTTGTGGCGGAATTACGTACTTAAATTAAAAATCTGATTGCTTCTGAAAATGAGAAAAGAGAAGAAAGAATGATAGAAGAGGAGCGATGGTTCTGGGAGCGAGGGAAGTATCGTCTAAACTCTTTAGAGCAATGCTTTTTTATTTTTAAAATAGAATATTCTACTAATATTTTAGAAATAAATTTCAATTCATTTTTGTCGTACAGAAGAAAAATAACTACGAAATTTTAATAAAAAAAATATACTCCTATTAAATTCGTTACATATGATCCACAAATAATTATTTTGACACTCAGTTATGTCGTCCTACAAAATAATCTAAAATGGATTTAAAAAATGTTAGTCTAATACTCTAAGGACCAGAGTAAAAAATGACACTGTATAATACATATAAACTATAGATATATACTTCTTGAAACATTTTTCGACTCTATCTAGGATACTAACTCCGGTAACAAATCCATCAAATTTTTCCGTGTGGGAACCATTATTATTATATTTACTGTTGAAACTACTAATCTACTATTGAAATAATAAAGGTAATAACAAAAATCAATATTTTCGACCCTTTGTGTTACGGTACTTATTTTATTCATCGATTAGCCTACGACGTCCTTTATTCCTTCTTGTAATAAGTGAAAAATCTACTTATGTCGTAATAAGGTACGCAAAATTGAGTAAATTTCGACAAAACGGATTTAAAACAATGTGTCCACTCCTCTAGGACAGTAGTGATATTAACAAAATGAGTTCCGGAAAAAATAAAAATTGCATACGCATTTTACATTAGTAAATGTTTTCAAATGTGTTATTTGTGTTTATTTTTACGTTTACCAACACTTGTAAATATTTAAAACTAATTAATATTTATTTTTATTATTTATTCATTATACAGTACTCCATTTGGTTACCACAAGCTTCGCAGACACAGTCTAGATAAAGTAAAATCTACTACTTGATTAGAATCTTCTGAAAACCTGAGATGGACATCAGGCAGCGTTGTAAATTATCTTAATCGTTAAGTATTACGACACTTTCGGGTTGGACGATCAAAATAAGTAACAAATTCTCATACTGAAATTTTTATAGTTAGGTAAGTACATTTGGAGTAGTATCATGCTACTCATAAATATTCAAATCATCAAGAACCAACCTATAATCAAATTCAAGAAAATAGTTGTTACTAATTTTCCAATACTTTTGAAATTGAGCCATATTCACGCGTATTCGGACTTTCCCTTCAGTATTTTCGCACACTAAACACAACTGGCACAATTCCGTTATGAACGATTCTTTAATCTTCCCGTTATAACCTTCCGACATTTTCATCAAAGCAGAAAGAACACATTGTTAACTCCGACGAAAAAAGCAGATGTCGTCTGCTCCGTAGAGTGCTTAACCGCAAATCGTGTTACTTACGTAGAGAAGAAGAGTTGACCCTTTTGACCGAAGGACAGACCCTCCATAATCCGATACGAAAACTGATGGAAGTGACGACTTGAGTGTTGGGAAGCGTGACGGGCTCTTTAGTATAGAGCCACGAACCACTGACGAATGCAATGAGAAGTGTAGCTAGAGCCAGAAGACCCCACAGGACACCCAACCTGGAGAGGGCGCCTCGCGACTTACAACACATCACTGACCACTTCAGATCACATCGATTCGCTTATTATTGTTCTGCGGCACTTATTGTCCTGGAGGAAATGCAGCGCCTTTGTGACGGTCCTGCACACATTTTCGTTCAACTTATTTGTCCGCACGTCGACTCGGAGCAGCGTCCGGCGGGAGACATCTCATGTTTTCTGAGTAATGGTTTTAAAATGTATCCGATCATTTTAAGAGTCTGCAAAAAAAATAAGTTGTATGTGATGCAATAAGATAAGTAAATAATAAAGAAGAAGGAAAAGGAGTAGAATTAGTTACGCAGTTGTTATTTATGTTATAAATTATGAGTGCTGAAAGTGGAGAGTTTTACACGGAATGGGAATACGGTGTAAGGTCAAAGGTCGCGTGTTGTATGAGAATGACTGATGCCATGCCGCTGAGTGTAAGCTAAGGAATCATTTCAATAGGGCCTGTCGGGCGAATGGCTACTTTCCTGTTTTCGCAACACGCTTGTCAAAATTTGATTTGGTAAATCCTATTACAACTTTATAAAATAAAAGACTCTTGTACTTGTGGTTTATGAATCCGCTTTGATCGTTTACCATAAGCATTCACATTTTCGCAAAAAAATCCAAGTTGTAACAATTTTACATAATTTTACTGTGTCAGCTGTCAGAGGAGGACAAACAGCACACTTAATACATAAGATAAACAAAAATCAACAGGAAATGTGACACCTTTTAAGAAAGTTTAATATTAAGGCACGAAACGAACATCCAATAAAAAGCTAAATTTCGATATAAATGATGTAAATAAATCTTTCTATTCACAAAAAAAATTTAAGAAAGAAATTTGTTTTAAATATATGCTTGCTACCATAATGAATGAAATTGTTACTTTATTTCTAAACTTAAATCAAATAATGCAGTTGATTATGGTGGAATTTCAGCCAAAACGTTGTGTGTTCATCCGTAATAGCTAAACGCTAAACACATGTTACTAATTGTAGCCTGGATACAAATCCATCCACTTCCTAAAATCAGTGAACTAAAAACGTTTTCAGTTCTGACACTCACCTTTATTTTAATTTATAGACAAAATGTTACGGTTAGCGAGTGTTTATTGATCAAAGAAAAATGAACTAAAAAAATCCCTGGGGAAATGAAAACGGTCGGACTTTCATTCATTTTAAATATTACAAACAACTTAAAAATTGTTCAGAACAACAGTAATTCATTTTTCATATTTTTAAATTTATGTATTTAAATCGATATTTTGTCAATTTGACTTTTTTTTTATTTGACTTTTAAACTTAGTACTGTACCGTTGAGTTAGTGCGCAATTTTGAATCAGCCTGTATAGAGGAAAAACTTTGGTCTAATATAAATATCTATCATGCTGAATGTCAAAATTTATTGATTTAAATTATTTGAGAAAAATGGTGGAGGCGCCGGGATATAAATAAATTAAAAAATTTGTATAAAAAAAATGTGTAGCTATTTCTACTTCAAATTACATATTGTGAAATAAAATGTGATTTTCTTTAAATATCTTGGTATGTCGACACGATTATTCAACAAGCAAAAATTTGAGGGAATATAAAAACTGTAGACTGCGTCGACGTAGCTAAGTTATTTTTTTTGTACATAAAAACCATTTTGTTGTGTTAAAAATGCAGATTCGCAATTATGTTGACTATATTTTTTGGGTGAAACGGTGGAAGCGCCAGGTTATAAATAAATCTAAAAATTGTTATGACAAAAATATATATAGAATTTTTTTCTTGAAATACCTTGATATCTGAAAATGCCACAACCACCAGAAATTTGGGGAATCTGAATGACGATTAATTCGATCGGTTTAGCTAACTTTTTTTTTTTTGTATGTATTAAACGCATTTTGCTGTGATGTTTAAATAGTTACCGGAAAAATAAATACAAATTCGTGATTCCGGTGTTTGAAACATCCTTTTATCCTATAACTACTGCATCAAATTATTCAAAACAATAAATTTATTTACAGCTAATCTTTCAATAAACAACTTTAACAAAAAATAACAGAATATTGCTTCTGTTTCGAATAAAGCAGATATAAGGTATTAATTCAAATATTATAATTGTTTGCTTTTTAATTAAGTTTTTTAGTATTCTAAATATATTCTCAAATACTTCTGAAATAATGAGTAAGAGCAGTTCAGTCAATTTTTCGAAACACCTCTGCCGGAACTTATATTAATTGTACTATTGGTAGTTGGCGTTGGCCAATCACAGCACAAACGCCTACTTTCTGGGGATATTGTGACGATTCAATGAAAAAGTGTGGGTTTTCTGAAGTCCACATTCTTGTGTTTTGTGACTTTACATAACCGCTAAGATGAAAGTATTCTTAGGAAATAAACCCGTACGCCGCCGCGGTACGACGCCTATGGGTTTTCTAGTATGTGCGGCGATGATTGGTGACTCATCGTCGGTGACGGCGGCCGCTCGGCGTTCGCTAAAGAAAAGCCTGGAAGCGGAAGTCGCGATGGGCAATCCAGAAAAACCTCGACTGCGGAACTTCTAGAAGGGAAGAATGGGTTTAAATACAGGCCACCTTCGAGATTATTGTTATTCAGTTAACGAGTAGAGTTGAGTGAAGTCCCGACAATGGGAGAAGTTGAGTTCCAATCAGAATTATTTTGTACATAATCGCTGTGTAATCGCTAATCAGTCGTATAAATTTGCGTTACTAAAAAATAAATTGTTGAGTTTTACCCACGCCGATTTTAATAACCGATCATCGTAACAGTATGTAGAGTATTTTAGAAACCATTGACAGTATTTAACGCTTTGTGCAAAATCAGTTCGACGTAATTCATGTACAGATATGAGATGATAGGGAGACAATTAAAGATCTTTTCTTAGAATCATATTACAGATATCAATAGACACACAAATTGTTGTGATATATCGTTTCTCCAATATGTTCTGGAGCCTGATTCTTTTAACGGCCGCTTCCAGGTTTTCGTGCGATAGATCCATTTCCTTGGATAGTAATAATAATAAATAAATACTTTATGTTATTCAGAAAAAGCTATTCTTGGTAAAAAATGTCGTAAATAGCAAACCTTTTTGTTTATTACCACGCGTTTGCGTTTGCTTTGTTTAAAGCAAAAGATAAAATAACAGTAAGCCGCGAAAAATTGATATTAAGTCTGTGAAATCCTGTCAAGTCAAATGTCAATTATCTCTCAATGATGAACCCATCCACGCTCTGAAGTATATTCGGTTACGTACTTAGACTAGAAAATAATTACCCTATTTTAAATCAACCATAGATAATAAATCAAAGGCCTGCTCCAAATATATGTTTTATTGTATACCCTTCAGTTCAATCAAGATTTTTCTTATAGGCAGAAACAATGGCTTTAACGGAACATCAGTATCTCAACAACGATGTTTCCTTCCAAAAAAAAAAAACATTTCTTAGTGATAAAACATGAATTTGGTTGCGTAAAATAATGCCAGTGATAGAGTTACTGAATAACACGATTTTCAGGGAAAGTGAGTGCGTCATTTCTGAGACCATAATTTTTTCTACGAGCAATTGGAAAAATTCAATATTGTAATGGTGATTTAAATTATGAAAAGTTGAAATATTCCTAATAAGAGCGAAATATTCTCTCACCAACTTTAAACCAATTTACTACGAATTTTATTTACTTATAATTCGTTGCAAATTAACTATTATTATGATTAAAGTTGCGACGTTCCTTCCTGCCTGTGCTAACAATATAGCAGACGTTCTCCTGAAACAGTGGTCTGTGTAACTGCATGAATTTGGCAGCTTCAAACATTCAGCAATCTTTCGTGGTATGCTGCCAATAATCTTGATGCCAACGTTTTGTCTAGTATTTATTTCAGTTTGAGAACTTAGTTAGTACTATATTATTATGTTTTTTATTTCTGGCCAGTAAAACGGTTCTTTTTATTTTAAAGATAAAGGTGAAAAATTATTGTTATTTTTGTCTTGGTAGGTGGGTATTCATTGTTCCTATAATTAAACAGTGGGTTTCAACACACCACACAGAGGCAAACTCGAATCTTACCTCTATAGTGTACACAAAACTGATGGCGTTTAATATGTAGGCTGTCCGTAATGCCCCATACGAGGTTTGTGGTGAAAATAGATAAGATTAAGGGTAGCCTCATTTTCCGTGCTTTATTGTTTAGTAATTGTAATTATTTATTCAAAATTTTACTAAAAAAAAATGTATATTTAGCCTTTCTATATTTGGGTGTGTCAACTCAGTGCTTTGGTGGTCGTCATTATTTGCTTTCGGTAATCATGAATACGACAAATTTATCAGAAATTGGAATTTTTTTCTACTTAAATTTAAATGAGTATAATGACAAAAAGTGTTTTTTTTCCACAAACTTTATGGAAAACGAAAACTTGATATCGCTAGTTTACCGTCGGAAGGTTGTAAAAGAAGTGAAACGAATGTTAAACAACAGAAATTACGGTAAATTTTTCCGAAATTCTTGATATAATTAATCAATCAAAATTCAACTTTCTGACATCGAAAAATTACACATTTCTGACTTGCTTCATGTTTCTAAGGTTTCATTTTCGACGAAAAAGTGTCCATGTGAACTAACAACGTAAGCTTGACAGTATAATTTTTTCGATATTTCGATATTTTAAAGCATCTTGTGCCTTGCATCATAAACTTCATAACTCATGAGCCGCCCCTGTCCGTTTCCTAGAGGAAAATGCACTTCAGACCAAATATAAACAAGTGTGTTTTCGTAACTTAATGCGTTCGAATCATAGACAGTGGCGGAATATGAATGACTTAAGTTTGATGCATTAATGAAGTTAAAAAGAACACAAAAATAATTATAAGATTTTCAAAACACATTAAGTTTCTTACACTGTTCCTTGTATTACTTACATATTTATATTTGTTTTAATGTATAGTGGTTATCACAAATAACATTTCACAAAATTGATTGTATTTCAAACTAAAATTTCTCTCTTATAACTCTTATAAGTATTTGAACGAACTGCATAAATTATTGAAAGCTGTAATTTACATTTTACGTTCCCAACCAGGAAAATATTCACATTATTTTTTGTTAACAGGCATTAAGCCGACAACCTGTTTTATTATTAAAAACCGTAGACCGCACTAACAACGGGATTATCAAGCGCAGCACAGATTTCCCCAGAACAATAATCGATGATGAGGCATTC